ATGGTTCAAAATCAGGAAGGGAGTACCAAAAAATAAGACCCCAGAAATTGACGTCTCTATCAACTGACATGTTTCAAATGACAGATGCAGCCCTGAACGTGCTCACCAGTCTATGCCAGGAAATTTGGAGGAGAGCTGTCTACCACACTAACTGGAAGACAACCATATTTTGTTCCCATTCCCAAGAAAGGTGATACTGCAGACTGTGGGCATTATAGAACAATATAACATTAATATCACAAGCAAGCAAAATACTGCTAAGCATCCTTCAAAATGTCTAGGATGACACCTAGATAGAAAACTACCAGAAGCTCAAGCTGTGTTTCGAAGAGGCTGTGGCACCAGGGTTATCACTGCTGATGTTAGGTGGATCCTGGTAGAAAGCAAGAAATACCAGAAGAATATCTATTTGTGCTTTACTATGCAAAGGCTAACATTGAGAAGATTGAGACTGTCAATTATTTCATCTTCCTTGGATCCACAATCAGTACACTTGGTATCAGCAGTCAAGAGATCAGGAGATATATCGCACTGGAAAAGTCTACAGTCAGGGACTTCTCCAAATTATTGAAACTAAAGTACACCTTCTTCAGAACACGGTCTTTTTAATCACTTGCTATGCTGCTGAGAGCTGTATGGTGAATAAGACTGAGAGAAGAATTGATGCCTTTGAGCTGTTGTGTTGGAGAAGAGTAATAACTATCCCATGGACTGACAAAAGAACAGATATGTTTTGGAGAAGGTACAGCCAGAGTACTCCTTGGAGGCAAGGACAATAAAACTTCATCTCACATACTTTGGGCATGTTGCTAGGATAGGTTATTCATTGGAGAGAGACTTTATGCTTGGGAAGGTGGAGGGATGGTGAAAGAAAGGAAGACCCTCAACCAGGTGGATTGACATGGAAGGTACCAATGGGCTCAAGTATGTCAGAGATTGTGAGGATAGGACAAGGTTCTGACCTATTGTTCATAGGGTGTCTATGAGTTGTATTCAATGGCACCTAAGAACAACAATTAATCCTGCCTCATTAACAATGCAAAGAAAACATTCCCAAAAGGGATTATAACCACAAACATCAAAATCAAGATTTAAAATAGCAAGTATTTTGGGAGGACAGAATTCAATCCATAATGCTAGGCTATGCTCCATGAAAGTAGCGAAGCTTTCTCAAAGGAAAAACATCAGGAAACATTGGTGATCAGTGCTAATGATTTATGCCAGGGTTATCAGATGTGCTCTCCAGATGAAGGGGCTTTGAAGTGCGAATTAGAAGATGAGTAGACATTAGGCAGGAGTTCCGGTGTGTAACCTGTGTTAGCATGCAGTGAATGCCCTGCCTTCAGCCTTCCTTGCCTGGACAAAGAATGAGCTACATTGGAGACAGCAGGAAGGCTGCTGTCGCCATGGAGGCACCAACGGGTATAAAGCAATTCTGGTGGCTCTTTAGAGAGCTGCTGTTCAGTGTTACAGCCTCAGAGACTTCAATAGGTGCTAAACATAGGGACCTCTGACAAGAAAGTGAAGAGATGAGAGTGAAGGTGGAAGTAGAGCTAATTTATTAGAGAAAATGAAAGTACATTACACAGAAGGAAATGGATCCACTCCAAAAGGAAAACAGTGGAGCAGAGGGGATCCTGCGTTCCTGGGATCATGGGTTGTGTAGTCAGTCTTTCTCCTGAGGCATGCAAATCAGGTGAATGGTGTTTGAATCAAGGTTTTTGAATGATCCCATTCCAATCAGCTAGCTATTCATGATGTCACAGAGTCCCATGTGTCTAAAATAGTAATTAGGTTGACTTTTGCCCTTTTATTTTTTTTATTCTATATGCTGTGCTTTAATAGTTTGACATGGTCCAGCTAAAATTGGAAGGTGCTTTATGATTTTAACTCTCCTGGGTTTTTGCCCCTAAATTATTTCACTAACTCCTAATAACCTGTTGGACTTCTAACCAAAAGGCCAGCAGTTTGAATCCACCAGCTATTCTATGGGAGAAAGATGGGCAGTCTCCTCTTGTTTATAGTCTTGGAAGTTTAGTGGAATTGGAATTGATTTGACAGCAATGTCCATGGGTACAGTCAGTCACCACTTAACCTTGTTGGCAGGAAGTGAAAATCTGAAGCACTTTCTGAAGATGAGACTGCAATCTTTACTGTGAGTTAGATCTCAACATCAAGAAAACAAAGATCCTTACCATTGGACCAATAGGCAACACTGTGATAGATGGACACAAGATTGAAATTGTCAATGATTTCATTGTATCTAGATCTACAACCAACACTCATGGTAGCAGAAGTCAAGAAATAAAAAAACATGCTGAATCAGAAAAATTTGCTGTCAAGGACCAGTAAAAAAAACTAACGAGAAAGGATGTCTCTTTAAAGACTAAAGTACACCTGATCCAAGTCATGTTATTTTCAACTGCATATGAAAGTTGAACAAGGACTAAGGATGAAAATGTCTGAATTGTAGTGTTGGAAAATACTGAATATCCTATGAACTGCCAAAAAATAAACAAGTACATCTTAGAAGTGTAAACATGTTGCTACTCAGAAGCAAGGATGGTGACATTTTGTCTCCCACAGTCAGTAGGGGACCGTGCTTAGAAAAAAGACATCATGCTTAGAAAAAGACATCATGCCGGGAAAGGTGGAGGGTGACAGAAAGACCCTCAGTAAGATGGATTGACAGTTACCGTAACAATGGACTCAAGCATGTCAGAGATTGAAGGACAATATAGGATAGGGCAAGGTTCTGTTTATATGATCACCTGAACTGTAGACACATCTGCATTCTAAGCTTTATCCCGGGACAAAAGCTGCCCTTTTAACCTGGCAGAGTTGTTCTAAGGAACACGTACCTTCTAACCAAAAGCAACCTTAATGCTATCCAGTCAGTTCCAACTCAGAAACCCTCTACTGGATTTCTAAGACTGTAACTCTTACCAGGAAACTGCCTTACACAGTAGCTGAATTCAAACCATTGATCTTTTGCCTAGCAGCCACACACCTTACACACTATGCCACTAAAGGCTCTTGGGTACCTGTCCATCATTTGACCAAAAGAACCATAGGAATGAACTTAGTTCCAGACCTGAAGTTGACAAAGAACTATGATCTAAATCAGAACAGTAAATCTAGTCTTTATTTTGAATTTTGTTGCGTATTTTCTCCCTTTCTCCAGGACTTCCTATTTGGATCTCACTCAGAGGAGTGGGAGGTGGTGGACAGGCTGGGTCTGGTTCTTCGGGTCTCACGCTGTAGAGGTGGGGTTGTGCATGGACTATTAGTCCTTTGGCCTAGTTATTTCTCTGTGTGTGGTTTTCTTCATTCTTCTTTGCTAGGGGGAGCAGGACCTCACATGACTGCTCACAAGCTTTCAAGATCCCCATTAACTGCTCATAAGGCTTTTAAAAACTGCTCACCCATGTAAGAAAACAAAACGTGCCATGAATGATTGAATAAAAGAAGTCCATAACCTGTAAAGTTTCATGAAAATTACAAAAGTTGTTCTTACTGATGCTATTTGCATAAACCAATCACTGACAATGCTACTCAGTGTTTGTGTGACCTGGGGTGACAAGATGTCCACATCCCCTTGCCTGCAGAGTTAGGGCTGCCTGGGGTCTGGGAGACCTACATCACCTCTGCAAAGGATTACTTTCATCTCAGCCTGTTTGCATTGATTCTCGTCATGGGTAACTCATAGTGGAATTTGACTAACTGTAATTGGAAAAAAGCAGAACATGTGATTTGTCTAGCTGGATTTCCTAGGTGCATTCCAAGTGCAGCCCTGTGCTTCCTCTTTGCTTATTTGTGCCTTATCATTGACAGACTTTAGATGTGGATACAACTTATGTTATTTTTACTTTTTTATGTCCTATTTAGAGAAAGAGCATCTACTTTGTCACAATCATGTTTATAGTTTTAATATTCTTAACAGCTTTGTGTTCAACATTGTGTTTAAATATAAAATTAATTCATTTTAGTGAATAGTATTACAACAGGGCTCTATTATTTTTAATTGGACCACTGCCAAGCCTGTATTTACTGGCTAGCCCATGAGTTGGAAATAAACCCATAATACTAAATAAATTTCCATATATATATTAAGTCCCATTCATCATTATCATCAGTACTATGGTTTGGATTGTATCCTCACCAGACCTTCCTTAGAGCCCCAAGTCCCACTTAACATGCTTCCTCCTCTCTGTAGCTGTTCAACTATGTCTTTATTTCTAGCCCCCTCTTTCCAGGCTTGGGCATGAACTTCTCTAGTTCTCAACACACTGGAGGTGAGCAAGGGGAAAGATCACATTCACATCATGGAACCCTCCCCTTATCCTTATCTCCCACTATACTTTTTTTAAAAAATTTCCATTCAGTCATTGTTGCACTTTTCTCCCTGCCTTCCCCTCCCCGCCAGTTCACTCTTCCCTTTGAAAAGTAAAATTCTTTCATTGTCATACAATCCCTCCCCCCAGGTCCACTCCACTGTGCAGCCTTTGTTCTAGACTCCTATCATGACAATAACACCTAATCATATATCCCTTTTAAACAGTATACATAATTTATCCCATCTTTCTCAATCTCCCCCCAACCCCGATGTTAGACCCATTTCACAACAGTGGCACTATGCAATATTTGTCCTTTTGTGCTTGAGATATTTCACTCAGCATAATGTCCTCCAGGGTCACCTATTTTGTATAATATTTCATGAGTTTCTTTGTTTTCCATGCAGCACAGTATTCCATCATGTGACTATACCACAGCTTCTCTACCCATTTGTTTGTTGATGGGCACTTAGGTTGTTTCCAACTCTTTGCTATTGTGAACAAAGCTGCAATAAACACGTGTGTAGTATATATATATATACCCACTATACATTTAAGAGCAAACAGCCTAAATGCTATTTATTGAAAAGAGCAGAGAAGACAAGAGACAAGGCTCCCACCGAACAAGTAGTGGAAAAAGACAAGCAGCGTAACTTGGCCTTCTGCTCAGCATATTCTCTTATTGCCCCACTGCGCATTCTTGTTGTTAATGGGCATCTTGAAGAAGCGGTCGGACTGCATGTATGCAGCTATTTTCTCCAAAGCCTGAAGGCAAAGCACACCAAACTGTGTAAGGACATGAAACCAGTCTGACAGACCCAAGCTGCAATTGCAGCAATCACACACTGCTTCCACCTTTCACACACTTTCCTCCCATTTGTGGTAGAGAGAGTCTTTGGGGTGGAAGGAGCCACACCATTACCAGGACTTAAAGGCTTACAAATGTCCTGTCCTTGGTCATTTTAGTCAAAAGCTGTGTTGAGGAAGAATTTACCCTCATGTGGGTCCCTGAGAACCCAGGGGATACTGTGAGTGTGTCTACGAGACAAAACTTAGGCAGCCTCACCTCAAAACGGCACATGAAAGCCTTCAGATTTGGGAATTCATCCAGGCACTTTGGTTCAAACATGCGGTTCTGATCGAAGACATCATAAGCGAGAAAGTCCACAAAAGTGAGCTAGAAGAACAAGAAGATGATCAGGTCCAGAGAGTTCATTAACACCTACAGAGACAGGGAGATGACCGCACCTTTCCTGCCTTCCTACCTTTTCCCCTGCAAACCAGGAGAATTTCCCCAGGAACAAAGAGAATTGTTTTAGTTGTCCAGGTAGCTGTTCCAAGTACTGAGGCTTCAACTTTTCCTGTGGGAGAGAGAAAAGTAGAATAGCTGTTAGGCTTTCACAGCTGCTCAGGGTAGGGTCTAATGGGGGACCCCTGGAAACCCTTGCTCCAAGGGCCTCCTTCTCGCTGCTTCAAGTGAGGGTGGCAGGATAGGAAGCAGGAATTTGAAAGGGGAAGGGGGCAAACACTAGAGGGGAAAACCTCATAAAGCAAACCAGAAACAAGCCTTCTGTTTTCTCTTCTCACTAACACAATGGGTTGGTGAGAAGGCAGCAGAAACAAAATATGCCCAGAAATGCTTTTGGACACTGCATTTGTCTGCTATCTGTTAAGAAAACGCACATGGTCAGGGTTGTAGCAGATCTGGACAAGTCGCATGCGGAAATCCATTACTTGGTTCTCTATGATGTCCACTCGAATCTTTTCTTCCTCCGTCTCGCCACCTGTGGGCCAAATGACACGATTCAGCCTTGAGTGCATCCAGCCCTGCTAAACAGGCAGGTTTCCCTCACAGGCCTGCCCTACTCACACATATTGTGCTTGCGAGCAATGTAGCGCAAGATGGCATTGCTCTGGGTGATCTTATTCTTCCCATCCACAAGATAGGGCAGCTGTAAGAAAAGCATCAAGTTAATGACTGATCAGGCTCTACATTGCCTTCCTATAATTTTCCCCTTGGGAAGATAAAGCCTCAGGGAAGTGAAAAGGTGAGAGCATATATTGTATTAGGATAAAGGAATAGCTCAGTAGAAGTTAGCAAATGGGTCCCCAGCTGATTCTAGACAGAGTTTCTTAATCTGTGTGTGAATGTGGGCCAGACATCTATCTCAGAAAATGTTTTTGTATATGCTGAAAATAAGCTACATACATTGAAAGAATTATAAAAATAGTGAAAATCCCAAATTTTAATAAAGCAGTGTGCATTAAACAACCTGCAGTAATATTAATTTTACAGTAATGCTATCTGCAACTAATACGACACAAAATGCCTGCCTTCCAATAGAGACAAAAGTCACAGGTACACCGAATAACCACTACCTTATTATTTATATTCACAATAGAGGAAAATACTTTATTTCTGTTATGAACCAGTGAACATATAACATGGAACTTCTATTCTTCATCCAAGTCCATGAACTCCTGAAAGTTACTGCTGTCAGCTACTGTCCAGCTGGCACTAACAGGCTCTGGTTGTGTGGTGCAAAGCCGACTGCACTGCAAACCTAAAGGATGTGCCTCTCAGGCAGTTCAAATCCACTAGCTGCTCCAGGAGAGAAAGGTGAGCAGTTTCCTCTCACTGAGGTTTTACAGCCTCAGAAACCAGATGGGACAGGTTGTTGAGTCAGAACTAACTCAATAGTAAATGAGTATGACTTTGGAGGTTTGTTTTTTTTATTATTATTATTAGTTTGTTTATTTTTCATTTCAATGAACATCTACAGAGATTTTGGAATTCCATTCATTCATTCATTGTTGCACCCTTCTCCCCGCACAAACCCCTCCCCCCTTCCCCGCCCGACTTTGGAGTTTTTAAGTTAGTTTTTTACTCATTGTGGCTGCACACACAATGGAACAAAAAACACTGCCCAATCATGGAGCAGACGACTGTGATACACAGGGTTTTCATGGGCAGAGATTCACAAACAAATCACCAGGCCTTTCTTTCTAGTCTGAGCATGGAAACGCCACTGAAATCTTTTCAGCATCAGGGTAGCATGCAAGCCTCAACTGGCATTTGAAAGGTTCCTGCACGTGAGGTGCTAAGATTACCAGGTATCTTAAAGAAACAAACAAACTCCTCTCTAAAATGAAATAGCAAAACATCTCCAAACTGCTGCCATTAAGTCAATTCTAAATTACAGTAACCATAAAAGATGGAACAGTCATCCAACAGGGTTTCCAAGGCAGAAGCAAACAATTTTCTCCCATGGAGCCATTAGTGAGTTGGAACCAATGCCAAGTGCTTAACCATTGTACCAGGGCTCGTTTGTGTCCTGTACAAGAGTGAGATTTCTACCACTGAATCACCACTGTTCCAGTCTATCCTGGCTAGAGATCCCTATCCTAGACCCTCCCAGGGAGCCAGGAAGCAAGGATATATTTGAATGCCTTCTCTTCTGTCCCTTTTCCTCTAAGGCCACTCACATTTGGAAAGTCCAGGTCCAGCTTGAATTTCACATCTAGCCATTGGCTTCGATCATAGTCAGGAGCTGTAAGAGAGGGAATGAAGTGCGATCCAACTTTCTTAGTATCTCCACTGAAGAGTTAAAGAGCTACAGAAACGAACTAACTCCAATACCTCAATTAACAGGCCTAGAAAATGTAAGCATCAGGCCACAGAATAGGGAGAATCCGCAGATCCACCACGGGATGCCCCGTTCGCACAGGACCTTTCTACTCCCAGGTGATTCATAACGGTGTATCCGTCCTTGGCATGATGCTCATATATGCCCAAGAAGAACAGGGCAGTGGGCAGTTAACTTGGCCTTCGGCCAGACCTTTACCTTCTCCGCACGTGTACCGTTTCTCCTCGTAGGCTGTATTGGTGAACTCCAGCAGCATGCGGATGGCGTGCCCCAGCTGGGGGGGGGGGGGGGAGGGGGGAAGGGGGTACAGTAATTGGGCTCAGCGCCTGCCCAGCCCTATAGCCCCCGCATCCCCTCCGCCAAAGTCCCCCACTCAGGGCTGCCCAGACCCTGCCCAGATCCGAGTGGTCGTTGAGCGGCCGCTGAGACCACACTCGAGGCTTGCTGTGCCCAGCTACCTCCATGGGGGTCAGCGATCCCCCACAGTGGGGTAGGGGTCTGTTTCTGCGGCCCGAGGGCTCAATCGGCTGGGGCCGCAGCGAAGAGGCCTGACTCTGAGAAGCTGCTTTCCTCAGGAGACCAAGGACCCGGGAACCCAGCTACCTGCAAGTCCGTCTACATAACCGAACGGTTCAATAATTGAAGGGCACTCACTCCGCGAATATCCCAGTAACCCAGCAGCATAGATGACTTCTCAGAACTCATCTTGCTTCAGCTCCGTAGGGGATTATAGGTAGAGCAGCGAGAAGGACCTTTATACAAGACGTAGTAGGCGTGACCAACGTGTGTCCTCTGACTCCGCCTCCCGCCCGCCACCCCGCCCTCCTGGGTCACGCGCCTGCGCGATTGGTGGGTACCTGCTGGACCTCGGAGGGGGCGGCCCCAGACCTGGGTGTTGAGGTCCCTGAGCCGCGGATACCTAGATCCGCAGGCCTTGTAGTCGCTTGCTTATCTCTTAGGTTAGAGCTGCGCATTGTTCACATCAGTAGCGTCACTTTGAGCGCCAGAGACTTCGGCAACAAGCACCCACTTATCCCAGTAGTGCCAGATTGACGACCCAACTATGTACTGGGTTGGGGGCGGGGACGGAGGTGAGGGGCGTGATAGGCATCCGCGAGGGCCCCTCAACGAGTCGCCATTGGCTCGCATGGAGGGCGTGTGTCTGGGGTGAGGGAACGGGAAAATTATTAGAAAGCCATAAATTATTAAACCTATAAAACTTTCAGGCAAAAGTCATTTATTAAATTCCTGTAGAAGGAACCCTCTCTTCTGGTTGGGAAAGAGAGTGATTCTAAGAATAGGTTTGGGGGTGGTGGGCATTCGAACCAGGATCAGCCCTGGGCACGGGCAGTGCAGAAGGCAGGAGAAAGCCGGAGAGGAACCTTCCAGCAAAAGCTGGAGGATGGGACATAACAAATGTTTGTAGAGAAACTGCAACGGCTGTGCATTTGAGCTGTTTTGAGTTTGTGATCCATCATCGATGGGGTGGAGGGAGACAGAACATTAGCATATCTTGGGGTCAGGTTGTAGAGGGTCTCATGAGTCAGTGAGGCCAATTTGGATGTTTTTCCTCTGGTCATTGCGAAGTCTGTTTATAACTTCTGTTCATTACAGGACACATATATTGAAACGTTTTATTTTATCTAAAAGGAAGGCGTAGTTTCCTTTTTAATTATCTATTTTAGTTAATATATCCAAAAGGGAGCTGTAGGGACTTGTTGTTGTTGTTGTTATGTGCCGTCGAGTCGTTTTCGACTCATAGCGACCCTATGCACAACAGCCCTAAACCCTGCTCTATCCTGCGCCAACCGCACCGCCTCTGACACACCCATCCCAATTACCCCAGTCACCGAATCAATCCATCTCATAGAGGGTCTTCCCCTCCTGCGCCGTCCCTCCAGCCTCCCAAGCATGATGTCCCTCTCCAAGGACCTGTCCCTCCTGGCAGCATGTCCAAAGTATGTCAGACAAAGCCCCAGAATCCTTGCCTCCAAGGAGTAGCTTGGTTTAATCCTCTCCTGAATGAATCTGTTTGTTTTCCTGGCAGTCCATGGTACATTCAGTACTCTTCTCCAGCACCACAGCTCAAAAGCATCCACTCTCTTTCTGTCCTCCCTAGTCATTGTCCAACTCTCTGATGCATAACAAGCGATTGCAAATACCATGGCCTGTATCAGGCGCACCTTAGTCTCCAGAGAGACACTGTTGCTCCTGAGTACTTTAGAGAGGTCCCTAACAGCAGACTTTCCCATCGCGATATGCTTTTTGATTTCCTGACTGCTGGTGCCAAGAGTGTTGACTGTGGAGCCGAGCAAACTGAAGCTGTGAACAATCTCAATCTCTTTGCCATCCATCCTGACGCTGCCAATTGGTTCAGTGGTGAGAATCTTTGTCTTCTTGACATTGAGCCTCAGTCCATACTGAAGACTGCAGTCCTTGACCCTCTGCAGTAAGTGCATGAGGTCCTCCTCAGTTTCAGCAAGCAGGGTTGTGTCATCTGCATAACGCAGATTGTTAATAGATTTTCCACCAATCCTGATGCCACAATTCTCATAGAGCCCAGCTTCTCGGATAATCTGCTCTGCATACATGTTTAAAAGGTATGGAGACAGGATGCATCCCTGGTGAACACCCTTCCCAATTTTGAACCATGCCGTGTTACCCTGCTCTGTTCTGACTACTGCCTCTTGGTCCAAGTACAGGTTTCGCATTAGCACAATTAAATGTTCCGGGATCCCCATTCTTCTCAGAGTCAGCCACAGTTTGTTATGATCCACACAGTCAAATGCCTTTGCATAATCAATGAAACACAGATAGACATTTTTCTACAGGAAGCTGCGCACTGGGGAAGATCACCTCGGATAACAGCAAAGAGGCATCTTTCAGGTAAAACCCAGGAAAAACTGGCCAGAGAGGGAAGATGGGAAGGGAAGGTCACCTTGGATAATAGCGAAGAGGCATCTTCCAGGTACCCAGAAAAACCGCCGGGAGAACGTGCTCCTGGGCGGAGGGCAAGCCGGGAAGCAGCCCTCCGGCCAGAAAGGAAAACATAATCTACACAGGAGTTCTACAGGACACGTCACCTTCCCTTGGAGACAGTACAACTAAACTTAAGAGACACTGGTCAAAAGAAAAAAAAATGTCAGCAGTTGACGTGTTTGGAATCACAGAAGCCAAGAAAGCTTAAGATACAAGCTGTCAGATCATGGGTTGGACAATGGAAGATATTTTCTGAAGGGACTTGGCAGATGTGAAGGGTTATCCTGGTGGAGGGTGGAGCTGGAAAGTAAGTGGGTCAAGGTAGGGGCTTAGTGGTAAGGAGTTCACCAGCTGTTCCATGGATCATAGAGATGGGCAGTCTCCTCGTTAGCAGTTTGTAGCCTCAGAAAACCTACTGGAGGGTCAGTTATGCAACGGTTACAACTTGAGGGCATAGAACAACAACAATAACAATATATCCAAAATGGATATTGATTATATTATTAACAGGAGAGTATTAACAAGACCATTTACATTCTTTGTTTTGTACTAATTCAGCTCCCTGCTGTGGGAGCTGTGTGGGTAAGGAAAGGTTGAGGGGAGAATGGAAAACTTTAGCTAAAGAGAAACAGGAAGTCATCCCTTAGGCAAACAAGCCTTTAAAAACGATATGAGATTGCCACGTGAATGAAATAATCTAAGACAAGAGCTGAGGGTTTAGGGTCTTGTGGCGCATCAACATTTGGAGGCTGGGGATATTAGAAAGAATAAACAAAGGAATTTGAGAAGGAATGGCCAGAGAGAGAGAACATGATGTCCTAGAAGCCAGATAAAGATGAGTGAAGGAGAGAGTGTGCACTGTAAGCTGTTCTGCTGAATAATATGAATTAACAGTTGAGGTTAGCAATGTCAGGGTCATTGGAGACCTTGATAAGAGCAGGACATTGGTTTGAAGGCCTCTGCAATCCTGGGAAGAACAAACTTCTTAGGCTAAGCAAGGTCCAAGTTAAGGGTGGAGGAGAACAGAGCTTTGCAACAGTTTTAGTGTGGGAGACAGGGTTTGTTAGCTGACTGTGGAGGTATGAAGAGGCAGGAGGACAGAAGCGACTCTGAGGGTTTCTGGTTTCTAGAGCACGTTCACTTAGGACATGCTCAGTTTTTAGTCTTCTGGGTTTGCAGTCAGGGAATTATGTTTCCCCTTTCATCCCGTTGAGACAAGTGGACATTTAAGAACATTTACAAGATAGCAAACAAATACTGTCAAGGGTGTGGAGAGGTTGGAACTCTCATACACTGCTGATGGGAATATAAAGTGATACAACCATTATGAAATTTGCTGCTTGGGAAGTTGGGATAGAAATACCATTAGGTTCGGCAGTACCATTACGAGGCATTTCTCTCAGAGGAATAAAATTGGTGACATTAACATTCATGTGAGCTCTGCTGGCTTAGCAGTAAGGAGTTGCGCTGCCAACCTGAAGTTTGAATCCACCAGCTTCTTTGAGGGAGAAAGGCTATCTCCTGTGTGATTCACAGTCTCTGAAATCAGCTGGAGGGTTATGAGTTGGTTCCGATTCAACAACAGTACACAACAACAACATATACATACCAACATTTATTGGAACATTATTTACAATAGCAAAGAGTTGACAAAAACGCTTGTCTATCAATGGAAGAATGACTAAAAGCACTCACACAAGGGAATATTATGCATCATTTTAAAATAATCAAGAATTCATGACGTACTTACTATACAACATAGAACGCTCTAGAATGAATTGTGAGTAACAAACTAGTCACAAAAAATTTCATGGCATAAGACCACTATTAAGGAGAGATTTCTCAGAATCCATCTTGGAGCGATAACAGGGATGGGGATGGAGGAAGGTGGGAGTAAAAATTAATAAATACAATACACAAAAGGGCATTGAGTTGACTTTGTAATTGATTTCAAAAAATAAAAGGACCTTTCATTAAAAAGAAGAGAGGAAGAAAGTGCAAACACAAAGAGATATTTATAATGTCAAGAATTTTCCTCTAACAAAAAGTCACAAATTAACTTGAGATGTAAACAAACATCTATTTAAAATCTATAATAAGCCAGGTGCTTCATGTATCAGAGACCTTTCTAAGCTCAAATTCTAGTAGGTGGTCTGGGATTCGACCTTTTGTCTGATAGCATAACTTGCACTAGTTCCACAGCACTTAAATATACAGAGTAATTTAGTCTCAGCTTAGTGTTTTATGGAAAAACCAGAACTATCAACCTTGTTCCGGTAATACGGTGCTTAAAGTGCTCTACTTACCAAAAGGTCGGTGGTTTGTAACCATCAGATAGACCAACAAAGACAGAAATGACAGGCTGCTTCTGTAAAGATCATAGCCTTGGAAACCCTATGGAGGTGGTTCTACTTGGTCTTATAGGGTTATTATGAATCGGAATTGTTGATAGCAGTGGATTTGATTTTGTGGGTTTGGTTCTGGAGGCTTTCCCTCTTCTACCATTCCTTCAGCTCTGTGAAGCCTCAGAGAGCATAGGGTTAATATTTCCATTCTTCATCCCAAGACATTAATAACTCTGGTTAACTTTGGCCCTTGACAAGTCAGGTTCTAATGGTCTTGCCTTTTTTCTTTCTTTTGTGAAGGAAAATTTTTGCTTTCTTAGTCTATGTTGCCAGAAAAGTGATTTCCTAACACCAGGGACTTGAGAGACTAACATTACCAGTCTACACACAGAATGATCTTGTTGAGCTCAGCTGACAGGAGGGGACACCACTGAATTCATCAAAGAGAGACTTAGGGAGCATCTTATTCAGACTTTAACAGTTTATCAAGCCACATCTTAGACAAATAAAAATATAACTTCTGTGATGTGTGTGATAGGGGATCCTTGACAGTTTCAGATTACCATCCAAAGATCACTTAGACTAAAGCATAGTAGAAGCCACAGAGAATACACAAACTCTCACAGTTGAGAAAACAGAGACCAGAGGGGTGAAATGACTTCTTACAGAATTTACACAGCTAGTTTGTGCCAGCAGCCAGGAAATCAAAAGACGAATTGCACTGGGGAAGTCAGCTGTCAGGGACTTCTCCAAAATACCAAAGAGCAACAACATTAGGCTGGAGACTAAGGTGCACCTGATCTGGGCTATAGTCTTCACAATTGCATGTTATGCATTGGTGAGCTGGACAGTGACTAGGGATGATAGAGAATTGATGCCTTTGAGCTGTGGGACTGGAGAACAGTGTTGAATATACCATGGACTACAAGGCGAACAAACAGGTTTGTCCTGGAAGCAGAGTGGGGGGACAGCACAGGAGAGGAAGACCCTTGATGAGATGGATCAATTCAGTGATGGGGGTAGTGGGAGTAGTGTGTTGGAGACAATGAGGTTGGCACAGGACAGAGCAGGGTTTAGGGTTGTTGTATATAGATAGGGTCGCTATGAGTCATAAGCGACTCAATGACACATAACAACAAACAACAACAGTTGATGAACTTTTGACTTCCAGCCCCAGGTTCTATATGCTCTGTCACTAAACAGACAAGCTGGTGGAAGTGGGGAAAGTGTGAACTTGGGGTTGGCTCACCCAACAGGAAGGAGCAAAGTTATAATGGAAAGAGGAAGTTACCAAGTAGGGCCCAGTGCACTTGTGTTATTGTTTCAGATTCATAAACCGGTGTATCTGGTCTAAGCTGTACCTGGGAGCATTGGTGCTTTTTCCCCCTGAGAAATGAAGTGTTGTGCCTCCAGAAATAGCTGTATCCTGGAGTTGGTTCAGGAAGAGAATAAGGAAATCTTGGAGCATAATTTATAGATTCTGACTAAGCACTAGACAGCAGTGGGAATTCCCACTCATAGTAAAAACAAAGCAGGAATGGCTGTAGGGCCTAGGATCTGAGCTCTTCTTGCCTTTCTGCCTTTGTTATTTTTCACCCCCAACAGTCTTCCCAGAGGAAGCGGCATGGCATGTAGGCATGTGCCAAGCATCTAGGTGCTTTTATTGAGAAGAAGAGAAACTCTTCTTGCCTTTCTGCCTTTGTTATTTTTCACCCCCAACAGTCTTCCCAGAGGAAGCGGCATGGCATGTAGGCATGTGCCAAGCATCTAGGTGCTTTTATTGAGAAGAAGAGAAACTGAGCAGGGTCCTGACAGATCTAGAGGGTCAAGAGCTCCAGGTAGCAGACAGATAATAAATAGGTAGCACTTGTCAGGACTCCCAACACAGCAAGAAGGGGCATTTTTTGGTCCCAGCCTCTGGGTCTGCTCAAATACCCTGCACGAACAAGTGTCTTGTTTGTGGAAAACTGGCGACTTGCAAGGATTCTTGGGTTTTAAAGGTGATCAGATTTGCCATCTTGCCTATGAGCTGGCTCTGATCTTGTAGATGGCTGAGATGATGGCTAAGGTTTCATCTGGGAAAAGAAAAGGGTTCAGATAAGGCTGGTGCTATGTGAACAGTCCTAAGCTTTCAGTAGCAATAAGCTTGGAGACTCCATCAGTTTGAGCGCATAAAGTCCCATTCCTGGGGATCATCCTATGCCCTCAGTTCCACCTCAGGTCTGGGGTCTGCTGGTTTGTCCACCCAGCACCTCACTCTCACCCAGGGAATATCAGACACTCCCAATGGGAGTCAAGGTGTCCTTACCCCTAGCGTCCTCCTGACAGCATCCAGCCGTGCCAGGACCCGGGGGGCCTCCTGTGGACACAGCATCTGTAGCTCCCCAGGTCTCATGTGTAGCAGTTGGTTCCCCATTAGGGACCCAAGAGTCTTCACCGTGCTGTGAACAAGAACGGCAAAAGCCATAAGGGGGTGAAATCACACTGGGCCTGACTATTTGGGTAGAGAATTAGGGTTTAGAGGTTGACATCACAGGAGAATTCATGGAATAGGGTGTCTGGAAGTGAAGGAGTAAGATAAGAATTTTCACTTTAATTTCTGGCTTCTCAGGTTTGACAGGAAACAGTTCCCTGAAAAATAATCTGCTTGTGGGAGAGGAATGGCTAATCTGGCAGCCCACATTCTTCCCAAGTGCACTGCCCAAAGCCCGCTACCTTCACCATGCCAGGGGCTCCCCACTTAGAACGATAACCTTGACAGGGGCAAGCCCCTGTCAGCATCTGATCTCTAACTCAAAGGAAAGCTCTGGATCTGGGTCTGTCATGCACGGTGTAGGGCAAGTTATATGCTCTGAAGTCGGCTTGGCTGCTCTCTGAGCCTCTAACAGATGTCCTTGGGTCCCGGGGCTGAGCACTCACACAGTGGAGAAGTTCTCTGCCTTCAGCCAGGCTGTGACTTCTTCAGGCTTTGAGCTAAGTCGAAGCATTGGAGCCTAGAGTATGGAGGGAAATGGGGATCAGAAGTCATCTCATATGACAACCCCTTGTGTCGTCTTCACCTGGGACTCTGCTCTGAAGTCTCAGGAGGTCTCGCTGTATGGGTTGCTGTCTGGCAGGGAACCCATCTTATTCTTTGCTTCCACCCCAAGGCCCCGCATGATAAAGCATAGCAGAGTGAGCATTATGTAATAGTGATGAAACCAAACCGGGACTCTCTCGTCCCTTTGTCATTTAATTCCACCCTCCACTTCTGACTCGGGATTTATGGTTCTCCCAGACAGTCCCGGCTGTCTGAGTAGTACCCGAGGGTGTGAGTTGCTCTCAGGGTCCCCTGGTTGTAGAGGCTCCAGGATGTTGCTTGGAATATAGCCACTCTGTCCCTTCTCGTTCTGCACCAGCCACCACCGCTTGCTCTGGTCCAGCACCTGCCAAGAATCACTCCCTTAGTGCCCACTGGGTCAGCCAGATTGTCCCTTCCCCCAACAAGTCCTTCTCTCTCCAGACCCTTTCGGCCTTTCCTTCTAGGCCACCCATCTGGCAGCCCCATACTTGGCACCTGCCCAGGCTACCTGTAACTCCCATCTCCTTTTCTAGCCTCCAGCCTCTTGCTCACCTCCAGCACCTCTTTTTGGGCCACTGACAGTTCCTGTGGGTTCCTGGCATCAAACTCATATAGGACTTGCATTTTCAGGGCTGGTTTGGCAGGTTTGGGACTGGAGGTCAGAAGATTGGGGTCCCCGGGTGGAGGGCGATGGTTGTATATCTCCTCCTCTGCAAAGTGTGGAGCACTCCCTAACCTAGGATGTCCCCCCAAGAGACAGAGTTAGGATGGGTGGGGAGTGGGACCACAGAAATTAAGCCCCTTTTCAAACCCAAAGAGCCCCAGATATCTTCTCTGTAGAGTCTGGTAGTGACTTTTGGCTTTTCCCATAGTTTAATGTGGAACTTGAGGTGGGAATTTTTGTAGGCAGGATAGATCTAAAATGTTTGCTGATTTTTGAAGGTGCTTTTAGCAATAGAATTTTCTGCATCCATGCTCGGCTCTGATCACTGCTTGAGCACTTTATAGCTGAGCTCTAGAAGTCGGATGTGCATGTGGATAGTTTAAAAGGAGGAATTAGAGTCTAGTTGGAGGACACACACACACACACACCCACACACACACACAGGAGCTTGGGTGGCTTAGTGCTAAAGAGTTTCACTGCCTACTCAAAGAAAGGCAAGCAGTTAGAATCCACCAGCTGCTCCTAGAGTAAAGATGGGCAATGTGTGCCTTTGTCATTTATAGCCTCTGACAACCCGCTGGAGGGTCAGCTATGAGTCAGGTCTGACTCGACAGCATACAATAACAGCAATGCGCACACACACACACACACACACACACACACACACACATACATATCAATGTCTATATATGTGTGCATATACATATACGTAGAAATGTTTATGTGTGTTTATTGCACCAGTGCAGGGGAAGGGTGTGTCTGTACATGTGTATGTTTGGCTAAAAGAGAGTTCCGAGGATGTCTGAGATGGAGAGCTCCAGAGATCAAAAAGGTCAACCCTTCCCCTCACCCATCCCCAGAGTCATGTGGTTCCTACTAAGCCCGGGCATACCTGAGGGAGTCCTGGTATCCTAGCGGTTCCTGTAAGGGATAGAACAGAGTGAACAAGAGCAAAAGTCAGCCAGCATGGTGGTAGGGTGCGAAGCTACCAGACCTACTCACACAGACCCGCCTTGTATATCCTTGCCTGCCTCCTCACCATATAGATATGGACCCACATGAACCTACCCACCCACTTAATTGTCATGAAACTGTAGTTAGGATTGGCAAGGCAGAAACTAGCTGGAGACCAAGGCTTTGAGACGGGGTCTGTGGTAAGCTGCTCTTACCTGGTTGGAGAAGGGCTCTGGAGGTTGCCAGCCATCATGGAATGTGGGTGTATAGGGTGGGGGCCTAGGGCCCATCCAGTCGACCCTGTAGGAAAGCAAAGTTGAGTTCATGTCCACTGTGTGCCAGGCTGTGAGATGTGGACTGGGAGGAGATGAGAAACCCTCGCCTCAGGATTGCATATCCAGTGGAGACACGGCCTCTGCACAGGCGAAAGGCCTCACAACAGCCGCAAAGGAGACAAACAGTCAAACATGAACACAGCCCACAGCAGAGAGAGATCAACTCCACACAAACATGCTGGGCACACAGCTCATTGATTAGGGGCTTAGGTTAAAGATGGAGCACCCCAGAGTGTTAGGGCTGAAGGACCCTTTGGAGATCATCATCCAGTGTGGTTTTCATAAGACCCTTTTTTTTTTCTGTTGTTCCACAGAAACAGAACTATTTCTTCTTACTAAGTAGTTTGTGGAACCCTAACTGGTGAGACTGATCAATACAGGGCTGCTCAGGCTGACTCTTAAGCGGGTGCTCAACCTCATCTCCTCAGCCTCCCCTTGCCCGTTACACAGGGCCTCGGAAGCACTGCTTGGAATATTGCTTTGCTAGCCTGTGAGAGGGCTCACTGTTCTCCTAGAGGGATGCCCTTTCCCTGGCTTCCTGCAGCAGGTTGAATATTTCTTCGTCTATACTGCCACCGAACTAGTTACTCCCCTCCCTGGTTGTTCCTCTTATACATACTGCACATAAGCCTGACTTGTCTGGTAGTCACCCAGTTGGTCCCCTGGAGGGCTGTATCCCTAGAGCAGTGATGAATGTTTGTTCAAATGGAGCAAATGAATGATTCTCTCTTCTGTGTCCTTTTACTTAGTTCTTTCTCTTTGTCCTACAAACATGCTCAGGCCTTATCTTGAGCCTGTCACAACTACTTTTAGATGTTAATCTGTTATGACCATCTTTTCACCTCATTTTTTTTTAGAATGTCTGTAGTCCAACACATCTCACCTGTTTTTTTGTTTTTTTTTTTCCTTGCAACCTGACACACCTCTATCATTACTGTCCTGAACCTAGTCCATCTAACATTCTGATGATCTCCTGAGTGCCAGACTCTACTAGCCTTCTTCCTTCTAGATGACCACAGCATTTGGTAATATTTTGGTTTGGAGTTAATCTGCCCAAAATCAAGTCACCTAATTATAATTTACCTAAAAGGTAACTGTTTTAAGGTGGGGCTTTTTTTTGTTAATAAAAACCCTTTACTCTATCTTCTGTATTTGTGTCTTTAATTTCTTGTTATTTTAGGAAATTAGAAAATATCTTGAAAGGGCACATAAGACTTAATTTTATATTTAAAATAAGTTTTTCTCAAGTGTACACTGTTTTGTGAAAAGAGTTGCAATTTTGTGAAGTATCTTTGAAAAATTCTATCTTCTGAGCTATTTGTCTAAGGTTTCAGATTCTTGGAGTAAAGCTGGATTTTTTAGACACATAATGTTATATGCATAGTAAAATAAAATGTGCAAAGAGCTGGAGTCAGAATATCAAGAAATGAACTGGCTCAGCATTTCTCAGGCTTCAGGAACTTAAAAACAAATTCAAGCCTCAAATTGCAGTACTTAAAGAAGCTATGGGCAGAATATTTAATATTATGAAGCAGTAGCAACTATGTAGTCAAGAATTGTCATTCCCCTGCCACTTCACTGCCTATACTCTTTTGGAACAATCCCCCCCCCCCCATTTTGTTTGTTAGGAAAAAATAGTTATTTATATTGTTGACTTAATTTTCATTTGTTACAGTTAAAGCTGCTGTGTGTGTGGGTGTTGTGGCAGTTTTTGCATGTGAAGGACTACTCTGCCTCCAGGAGCCAGGCAAGTCAAATGTGTGATGTGTCAAATGCGTTAATGGTTGGCTACCCAGTGTGGACAGAGAGTGGGGTGGAGCTCCCCGATTAAAACAGGCTTAGAAGGAGGAGTGGCATCCCCTTCCATAATAGCTTGGCTCCAGAAACCCTATGAACCTGGAGAGAGGATGAAAGGCACCCAAGCGTTGAGGACTCTCCTTCGTAGGGTCGCTATGAGTTGCCTGTGACTTGACGGCACTTAACAACAACAGCAACGTTATATGCAACATATTACTCAGTGTTTTAGCAGCCAAATGAGAGTATTTGAGGGTTCACCATACTCTATTTTTGCTGAACCCGTTTCTTCTCTTGCTGGCAGTAGGTGGATGCCAGGGCTAGCCCCCCAGACTCCCTGAGCCCCACATAGCTGTGGTTGTCTTGTGCTCGCAGGTGAACTTACACTGCTACTGCTTGGCATGTATTCTGGGCAATGGAATACCTAGGTAATAGAAGCTCCAAAATCCATAATTGATTTGCTTTTAATAAGTGAACCAAAAGAGCTCATGAAATTAATTATGTGAAGCTATTTTATGCCTTCAGATGCACTGGAAAAAAAATTCCTATAAATGAATCTGAATTGAAATGAATTGGTCATTACGTAGAAGTCTTGTGAGATAAACGGGCTCATTTTCCTGCCTCTCCGAACTCGTTTTCTTTCTTGACTCATTCCTCGGCTTTTCCAGTTCTCCTTTTGACTCCCCAGAATTTCTCTTTGTCTCCTTGACCCTTTCTCTTTTCAACACATACCTGAAGATGTTTCCTAAGACCCTGGCCTCTTCTCTCATTGAATAAGATCCACTCTTTTCTCTTCAAGGAGATGGATTTGACACAGTGATATAACAATGGACTTGAGCATGACAGAGATTGTGATGATGGTGATTCAGATCTGTTGTTCATAGGGTTGCTGTGAGTTCTGATCAACCTGATGACATCTAACAACACCATCGACTCTTCTGTCATTGGAAACAGCAAAATGTGCTTGCTGAAGTGAATTCTAGGGCTTTCCATGGGACCTCTCATCTCTACCTTCAGCTCCAACTATCATTTCTGTGCTCTTTTCTTAAGTCCACCTTGCCCTGCATCTGTCTGTGGGGCTTTCTATTGGCACCTTGCTCAGTGTATCCAAACTGGTTTCATCCCCTCTTTGCTGTGGATCCCCACCCACTTTGCTCTCTTCAGTTTGACTTTCTCACCTTACTGCCCATTTCAAGGTGACACAAACTCCCTTTACTCCCTAGCCAATTGGTTACTAGATCTTACCAATGTTACATCTGTGATATCTCTTACGCCATTGATTCTTACATTCTGGCCTGGATTGAGACAAAGTTTTCATTTTCTTTTTCCTTGACAAAATGAGAAAATAATGTTTTACAAGAAGATTGTTTGGAAGGGACTGTACTTTTTCCTGTGATAATGTCTCCTTTTTTGGTGATGAAAATAAATAGTTGTCTTTTTTTAAAAAAATTCTTCAATTGTTGTTGTAATGTGTCGACGAGTTGCCTGAGACTCATAGTGACCCTGTGTACAAAAGCCCTAAACCCTGCTCTGTCCTATGCTTATCTCATTGTCTCTGACACACCTACCTCAATTACCCCAGTCACTGAATCAATCCATCTCATCGAGGGTCTTCCTCTCTTGCACTGTCCCTCCACACTCCCAAGAATGATGTCCCTCTCCAAGATTTGTCCCTCTTTGCAACATGTCGAAGTATGTCAGATGAAACTTCAGAATCCTTACCTCCAAGGAGCAGCCTGGTTTCACCCACTCCAGGACGAACCTATTTGTTCTTCTAGCAGTCCATGGTATATTCAATACTCTTCTTCAGCACCACAGCTCAAAGGCATCAATTCACCTTCTATCATCCCTATAGAGCCACTCATTTTGTTTTGAAAGATTACTGATTTGTGACTAGTAGAACCTGGTCACTTCTGATGTGCTGCCCGTTGACCCCATGCCTCTCACTCCTAATTATATTCAGACCTGGATTTCACTCACCAGCTGGTCGTCCACGCCTCACCCAGCTCCCTCCAAAGGTTATTCTCAGTTGGACTCAAACAAGATTGCAGAAGGCTGATGGCTTTGGGACTGAGGAGTGGTGAGATCACTTGGGCTGCTAGGCCCGGCTCAGGACAGGAGGCTATGATCTGGAAAAGGGACACAAGATGAGGAAACTTGGGCTCCCAAGTGGCCTCTTGTGAGCAGCCCCTTCTGCCTCAGCCTGATGCCCGTTCCAGTCTCCCTGCTGGTCTGTGCCTTTGACTCTGACCTCTGTTTGTTTAGTCTCTTGAGGTATGCTGTACAGAGCAGGGATGATAACTTGGCAGAAATGAAGAGGGTGTATCCTCCGCTCTCTGTCCTGCCCTCATTCCCCAAGCTCTCACTCCACTCTCCCTTCCTCCCTCTGTCTCTCCTTGACTTCAACCTACCCCTCTTTACCACCGCATCCTTCCCCAACTCACTTCACCAAGAGTGCGGAAGATGATGTGCACGAACTCTGGGGCACCCGGCTCCAAAATATGATTGTCCAGCTTCCCCTGGAGGCACAGGGCAATGTCCGTCACCTCCCCTTCCCCACCCTGACTTTGCCAGGGCCCCAGATATCCAGTCATTGTTAGGAGTTTTGTTCAGAAGCTTGGCTATCCCTACAGGTCCCAAGAGCAGAGAATGGAATGTTCTAGGGGAAGAAGCTGGAGAAAGAAAAGGCTTGGGTTGGCCTGTGAGTCTAGGAGGATAGCAGGGGAAGAAAGGAGGAAGTGAAGTGGGGAGCTCGTGGGAAGCCGCATACCAGGAGATTGAGGCTGTACTTGATCTTCTGGAAACAGTCAGTGTACTGCTCCTTTGTTACCCCTGTGGGAGACAGCATGAGTCACAGGTTACCCCAAGACTCTTCCTCTCCTTGCCACTGCTCTCCTAGCTCTGAGCACTCACCTCCCTGGTCCTTGTTCTTTTTCTTCCCCAGTATCTTCTTCTTCTTGTGGATCTTTGCCTGAACTTCCTTCACATTTCCCACGAACAGCTCAATGTCCATTAGGACGTGTTTCAGCAGCTCCTGGGTCCCAAACAGCTCATGACCATGAGTAAAGCTAGCCACAGGCCTCCCCCTTTGTCCCCTCAGCCCAAGCCCCTGCCCCGGGTCCATCCAGGGCCAAGCCAAGCTTCCCAGTACTCTTTGGTCCAGAGCCTGGCCTGGCCATCCTGGCCCCCAGCTCCAGGAAACCTCAGCAAGCCCTAGCCAGCCTGAAGTTACCTCATCCCTCTCTAGGTCCTCGGGAGATGGGGATCGCCTTGGAAGAGATGGGGTGAGGGCTTTTCGTTCTTGAGCACTGGTGCGTTGAAATGGAAGCCTTGGGGATGGTGATAAACCTGCAATGGAGGGGGACTGTGGACTCAGAGCCTCCACAGTCTAAGCGTTCTCCTTCCTATTCCTACCCCCAAACTTACTGTGTTCTGGTGACGTCCAGTGAGGCTGCTCAAGGGGCGGCCTCCGGTCCAGAGGGGGTGTCCACTCTGTTGGGGGTCCCCGGTCTAGAGTGGGTGCCCGTTCAGCAGGGGGTCCCCAGTCCAGAGGGACTGGCTTTTCCAGAGTATGCCCCCTCCACCTGTCCTGGCTTGGGTGGATAGCTCTAAATCGGGGTCTGAGAAGAACAAGATGGGGGCACAACTTTGGAAAGGTTCTGCTCAGGACCCAGGAGCACCATAGGATCTCTCCAGGACCCACCCCACCATTTCCAGCTCTCTATCTGAATGCTTTTCTGATGCCACCTGCATGCCCACCACCCGGTGCACCTAATAGTGCTATCTTCAGGGGGAAATACCCTCTTGGTCTTCTTGGGCCCCATATAAGTCTCCAGAGACAATCTCTGGTGCTCCTTGAGCCTGGTCCCAGCCCCTTCCTCATGCCCATTCTCATTTTAAGGTCCGCACTGGTCGTTCCACAGGCTCTTGGCATCCCTAGGAGAGCTGAGCAGCCACCAAAGCCTTGACATTACATCGGTGGGGACAGGGCGGAGGCTGCCTACCTTTGTTCTAGCTCCTCCTCCAGGGCCTTTTGCAGGCTTGTCTTCAGTACCTCTGCCTGGAGGAAGCAGCAGTCAGGAAGGCTGGGGGTGGGGGGTATATATAGTGGTACTCCCTGGACCTCACACCATTCTCTTCCTCAGCCCACCCCTGGATGCTCACCTTCACTTCATGGCACTGAAAGAGCAGAGTGCTGGTGACGGGCATGCCTGACTCCTGCACTGTGATGGACAGGATGGAGTCATAGGAGCAGATGTTGAGTGCCACATCAATGGCCTCGATGCTGTCCAGGCGGTACGAGTCCAGCTCCTCCTGAACCAGGCAGAGCAGTTGGCAATGAGGTCATTGAGCTTGAATGCTGTACTGCTATTGGTGGTCTGAGGCTGGGATAAGATTGCTTTTTCTGGGTCCTGTGGGAGGACTGACCTTAGTCTCGATGTCCAGCAGCTGGAGCCAGCCATCTCTGACCTGCAGGATCAAGTCCTGGCTCCACACCCGGCCCAGTGCATCCATCTCCTGAAGCTTCTGCAAAGCATCCTTGGGCTCCCGGACTTTCTGAGTCCCCAACTTGCATGTCAACAGGTGCTGAGGGAAGAGGAAGAGACCCAGGACTGAGCAGCTGCAGTTGGTGGCAGGGATGGAGTGAGGCAGCAGCAGGACCGGACGTGCCTGTGGCCTCCATGTGAGGGTAGATCCCAGGATGTTTAGATGAGCAATGGTCAGGGATCAATGCCATGGCCAGTGGAAAAGCCGGCAGGTTAGATGGAATGCCTGCAGGCTGAGACTGAAGGGTGTGTGAGGGCTCTCAGGACCCTGAAGAAGGACAGTCATGGCCCAGAACTGTCCAGGCCCTGTTAGGGGGACCACCCAGCAAAATCTGAACTTCTCTGGGGGAGACGTGGGCCCTCAAGGTTCTGTCCTTGGCCTCGTCTGGGTCTCTGTCATGCCAACTTTGTGTTCCACCTCACTGTCCCTGTGGCCATGCTGTTCCCTGTATCTGGAACAGTGCTCTGTACCTAGTCCCTCATCTTCCGGTCTCTTGGTAAGCAGACCACTCAGAGACTTGGTGATATTGAGGATATTGAGGTAGAACCCAACTCCATTGAGTTTCTAAGGGCTGTAAATTGTAGAGAAGAGATTGCCCATCTTTCTTCCACAGGATGGCTGGTAGGTTCACATGGCAGAGCGGCTTTTGAGTTCGCAGTGTGACTCTTTACAGAGCGCACTAACAGAGATTCCGCCTCTTCTTTCGTTTTGCATCTGGGTCTGCACTAACATCCCTGCTCCTTACGAAGCTGCCCATCCTCCATTCCTGTAAGTCCTTTCTCTTATTTCCTCTCCTTTAAGGGATCCCTCTGTCTCACTGCTACATACTGACATGACAATTGGCAGACCTGCCCCAGCCTGCCTCCTGTCCCTGGGTTCCTCCACCCTTAGTCTGCGTGGCTCCCATGCCTCTTGGTGTTGTTCCTACATCCAGCATGTTCAGAGAACACGAATAGCAAGAATAAACTCCTTGTCAACCTGAACACGCCACCTCTGCTGTTGCTTGTGGGGCCTAAATGAAGCCGTTTGCCTTGTCCACCCACTGCTTCAGCCAACTAGGGAGCCCTGCTCCTGCTGCCCTGTACAAGTGTCCGGACACCACTCAGTGCCCCTCCCTTTAGCGCCCCAAGGTCCAGTGTAGTCAGGATATTTTCTAACTGACGTGTGGGCCTAACCAAACGTGTGCTCTACCCAGGTCACGCCCTTGGAGTCTGTGCTTCCCCCGTGGCTTTGCCAGTCCTTCAGGCAGTGAGATCTCCCAGTACCTTCCCCATGTCATCCTTCCCCAGAGGAGGACCAGAACCCCTATTCCTGCCTCCCAGGGGCTCGCTCTCACCTGGGAGCACATGCCTGACACCTCTCCTTTCTGGCAGTGGCCTTTTTTTTGGAGTGCTCTAGCACTCACAGATGGCACAGGATAGGGCTAGGTTCAGATATATTGTTTATAGTGTTGCTGTGAGTCGTAGTTGACTTGATGGCACCCAACATCTCTCGCGGGACTGCTGAGCTCACGCATTCCTTCCTTCCTGCAGCTGTGCCAAAACCCCAGGCAAAGAACAGTCCCCTGGGCTGGGGAGTCGAGTGCCAGGGGCGTGTGGGGAGAAGTTAGGGCAGCACGAGGAAGATACCACAGCTGATGACTCCTGGCCCACACCTCTGCTACTTCTTTCTACCATCTCCTCTCTCAAACTTCAACCTGCCTTGCCTGTTGGCCCCCACTGTCCTGTTCCCCTTCCTGCCATGTAGTAGCCTTTCCATTTGACATGTAGGCCTGGTACAGGCTACTGGCTTTTGTGAGAGGGATTTATTGTTTGTATTTTTCAGGATAGTGGGCATATTGAACAAATACGGGGTGACTTAGGAAGCCATCTGGGAACCCCAGGAGTACTCACCTCTACCCTGTGCTGCAGGAAGCTGGGATCTGAGGCCAGGCTCTGCGAGTACTCCTTCCGGTGCACTGTGAGATTGGTGTGGCCAGAGTGAGGGGTAGTGGTTAAGGGGTGAAGGGCAGCAGAGTGGGAAAAGGGCAACTGGGCTGGGGAACAGAGGCTTGGGGGAGGGGGTGGCAGAGGCGGGGAGAAGGATGGAGGTGGGGATGGTGTGGGGGGAATGAAAGGAGAATGAAAGTGGCAGTGGTGTTGATAGGAGAGGAGAAGGGTGGGGTTTGAGGGGAAAGGGAACTTACAATAAATGGCTCTGCTGCTGGGCCGGGACATGTTGGTGCTGGCGGGGACACTTCTCTAGAAATAAATGAAGGAGACAGCCATCAGAGCTGAATGAAACCCAGGTCCCAGCAGGCAAGACGGCTGCTATTTCAGCTCCTTCTGAAGGGGCTGATGTTTAGACAGTCTCTGAACTGGGGTCCTCATATCAGACCCAAATCTCCAGGCTCCTGGAGGCCTTTTGAAGCAGCCCCCAGCCAGCGCCCTCTGCCAAGGACCTGATCAGCCCACAGACCCCAGACCAAGGGAAGTGCAGGTATGTATGTAGCCAGTCCATGTAGGACCCCGAGCCACTTCCAAGCCACTCATACTTTGGACCATGAAACTAATTTCTACAGGCTCAGCAAAGCTGAATGGACGAGGATGCAGGGCCTAAGGCTGTAGCACTGTGGTTAGAACTACATCCTGCCTTGGGTCTGGGAGTGAGAGACACCAGGTATATGAGCTTAACCCCACTTCTTCAGGGCAGACAAAAGATTCCATAGTCTTCCCTGACAAGCAATTCCTCTTGTCTAAGCCTGTTTCATTTCTGGAAACTGAGAGGAAACCACTGCTGGCTTTTGAGCTAGGATTACTTGCAAATGATATGTATGTTCTGTGTGTGTATACACACGCACATGTACTCACGTGCAAATAAAAATATACGTATTGCATTTCTGATGAAGCTGCATGAGATTTTTCAGTTACCCCCCGACAGAGTTATTACCCTTCACTTGCCTGAATATCTATCAATTTTCCCTTCTCTTTGCTTGTCGTACCTGTAGCCCCTGCCCAAAGCTCCAGCCCACTTCATCCTGAGCATTCCCTCTCGGGTGAGGCCTTCCATCACTACCCTTTGTCTGCTCCACTGCCAGGGGGCCTCCCCTAAAGCCAGACCCCGCGCATTCACACCTGTCCTAAAAGCCACAACAGCCACTACAGTCTGTGCCGTGAGCTTGGCTCAAGTCCATTACAGGTCACACTGCTTTTCATTTTCACCACAATCTCCTTGGATTTCCTTGGCACTAGGTGCCAACCAGAGGAGCCCTTTGTGGCACAGTGGTTAAACACTTGGCCACCAACCAAAAAAAATACTTAGCGATTTAGAGTTACCAGGGGTTCTGAAGAAGGAGATGACAGCCGGCTTCTGCAAAGATCACAGCCTCGGGAGCCCTGTAGTTCTGCTCTGTTCTCTAGTGTCCGTATGAGTTGGAGTCAGATCAACGTTGGGTTTTGGTTTTTGTGCCAAGCACCACTGTTCTGAGGACTTCACTAACTTATCAAAACCTCAAATCAGCCTTATGCATTTGATCCTCATGAATCAGAGGGAGATGGCCTGAAGTCATTGTTGTGTGCTGTTGAGTCAGAACTGACTCATACCTGATCCTCCAGTGCATTTCCAGAGGCTGGAAATCACATAGGAGATTGCCCATCTTTCTTCCATGGTGGTGGTGGTTGTTATGTGCTGTCGAGTCGCTTGTGACTCGTAGTGATCCTATGTACAACAGCTCTGAACCCTGTTCTATATGGAGATGATTTCATTGTCTACTTCCATAACCCTAGTCACTGGGTAAATCCATCTCATCCAGGATTTTCCTCTCCTGTGAACTCCTTGATATTTAATAGGGAATGGCTCCAGATCTGCCTGGCTACGAATGTCATATTTTAATAGTTTAATTATATATGTGCTCCGTGACTGGGCTCTGGTCCTCTGAGGACAGAACCTTGCCTAGGACACCTCTGTGTTCCCAGTGCCTCCTTGGCACGGTGATGTCACCAAACCCAGCTCTCAACCCCTTAGTTGATTATGCTCATGACAACCCTCCATCAAGTTTTTGTGGTTCTAAATCTTTCCAGAAGGAACATGTCCATCTTTCCCTTTTGCTAATGACTGGTGGATTCGAGCCTCTGGCCTTCGTTAGCATGGGTTGGCCAGCGAGGTGAATCAATGGTGTGTATTATTTGAGTGCGGTTTGTGTGCGTCCTGTGTAGGATGTCAGCGTCATGGTTGTTCATACATCTGCGTGGTGCACCTGAGTCGTACTGACTATCCTGGGCAAAGTATAAAAGAGCAGCCCACACCCTGTTTATTAGGACTGTTATGGAAATAACAGAGGATCTGATAAGGTGACTCAGTGATGTGGAGACACAGTACTGTTAAATAATAAGGCAAATGTGGAGGAGGGCTCTGGATCTGTTTCCTTGCCTAGGAGACCAGAGCTCCCTTATTTTTCAAGGGTAAGAAGAGCTAGAAGCCTGCCCTCCAGCCCCACTGCCTCACCCTTGGTTATATAACACTTC